TACTGTGCTTAGGAACCAAAGTACACCGTTAATACTGTGCTTAGAAACCAAAGTACAACGTTAGTACTGTGCTTAGAAACCAAAGTACACTGGTTAGTACAATGTAATTGTTAATTGATTTAGATTTTTAAGCATATTGAACATTTCCAAATTTCTCTGATACTTTTATTTGAATAAATGTACAACAAACTTTGTAAAACAGTTGGCTTTGTATTAAGGTCGTAGTGTCGTTATTGTCACACACGCCGCATGTGATACATGTGGTGGAATGAAATTGTGTACACAGGGTCCCAGTTACGTCCAACAAAAATACAAAGCAAAACATGTTCAAGTATTAAGTATTAAGTACAGAAGTATTAATTAAACAATAAACAGGTTGAACCAAGTCAATGTGTCTATAAAATGTTCCAAATGTGTTGACAAGGACACGAGCCCATGTGTCACTGCCAATGATGCGTGACATGGGTTCTTGTCAATGGGGACTTTTTAGTGGGTATACTCCGTGTACCCGTGTATCACACAGACTACACCACTGGGTAAAACCCAATGTGGATGAAAAGATCACAAGTTGGTCCAGCACTGCAGAGCTGTCTGATTTAGTGCGCTATCAGCAGGAGCTCACTGGAGCAAGAGCAAAGATTATTGGAGCAGCAATCACACACACACATTATTACACACACACACACACACACACACATTATCATTCTTTACAGACCAGGAAGTTCAATCAGGTTTTCTTTTCTCTGTAGTCTCTTTATAGAGTAGCTGCGCTTTCCTGCCAACAAACCTTCATCCTTCTCAAAGCATCCGAGGTGATCTTTGTGCACAGTCACGAGGGTAACCACACAAGACAAAGTTGGGCATTTCGAGGTCTTTTTAAGGCAAAGAAAAACAACCAAAACAGCTGAAATAGAAGCAGCGCACGTGGTCCGTCTTTGAAGAGATGACGGATATGTGCAGCCATAAACAACCATCGTTTTGCTTTGTTGCTTTGTTGCTTTGTTGCTTTGCTCAGACTCCTTTCTTTCATTTATCATCCCTCCCTCGATCTGTTTCGGCTTTGTTGCATATGAATTGTATAAAAACAGCCGCGAAGCGTGTCCCACTGGGACAGTTGTGGCCTGCAGAGGAATCCGTCAGCCTAACCTCAGCTCTCGGCCTCATCGTCTGCTGCCGTGTTGCTGCTGAATCCACTTTCTGCTGGCTTCCATCTGTTTGTGGCTTCTTTTCCTCTCAGTTTTTGTCTTTATTACTTTCCTTGGCAGTTAAATGAAAGAGAGTTGCATTTGATACAGAGTGTCCTCTCAGCGTGCGCCGCAGGAATAACTGAGCCGTATCAGGCTGCAACATGGTAACAATAAATTAATTATACGCTTAATGAGACACAAAAACTGAAGAGTAAAGGAGAATTCGGTGTGCGTGGTTGTAAAGCATTTTCATTAGATTTCTTTATTGCCTGCTGCCAAAAGGCAAAGGCAAATTGTGTTTTTGCTAGGGATGCACGATATTATCGGCATGGTATCGGTATCGGACGATATTATCGATAACGTTAAATATCGGACATTCCATCAAAATAACTCGCTGATATTAAAGGTGCTGTTTTTAAATATATATTATATATTTATATAGTGTTACATCATTTTTCTCCCCCTTTTTGCAATCTGCATTTGGTAGCAGGCCATGTTGACAAAGACCATGCAGAATAATGTAGTACTTTAATTCTACAGCAAAGAAAACTATGTAGTCTCTGTAAGTAGATCTAGGGAAAAAATATCTATACTGGTATCAGTTATCAGCCAAATAAATTTTAACATATCGGCATATTGGATGTCGGCCCAAAATCCAATATTGTGCATCCCTAGTTTTCGCGCATATATATTTGTCTGTTAACAAAATATCTTATGAACTACTGGATGGAATTTAATTAAAGTTGCTGAAAGTAAATTTTGGATGTACAGGTTTGACTAAAACTGCTACAACTCTTGGGTTTCTCAACATCAGACCTCGGTCCAAAGAGGCAGTGGGTGATGTATGTGTTTCTTTAAAAAAATGCTAGAACAGGACTTTTCAACTAAATTGCTCAGGGGGCCACAGTTGCTGAAACCCAAGAGCTCAGGGTCCGGACATCCAGCAGTTGTTGTCATTAAGTAAGTTTGTTTTATGGTTTAAAATCTAGTTTTATTTAAAAATGAACCAATTGGTGAACTGAGTTCATCTGTGGGCCAGATTTGGCCCCCGGGCCACCAGTTGAATAGCCCAGTGCTAGACCTTTACTGATAGTTAATGTTCTGCGTCACGCAGCATTAATTAGGAATTCTCTGAAAAGACGGAGCGCAGGAGGGAACGGCAGCCTTCTTAATCCCAGCTCTGGGTTTCTTATGTCTAGGATTAAACTCCAAGTGGAGTCGTTGGGATTACACACAGAGTCAGATGTCAGATTAATATGTAATTACATTCTTTTAGGGACATATGCTGTTGTTGATCCAATGCTCTAATTTTACTGGATTAAGTGGTTTTATCCATTTAGTCTCTGTTAAACGGCAAGACATGCGTCTCAAAAATAGTGAAGGCTTAACTGGTTGATATTTTAACCGCCATGCAAGCAGCTCCTAACTCCATGACAGCAGATGAAGATGTGAGTTTACTGTTAACACTTGTTCATGTGCAACAGAATATTATTATATACAATATGCTTTTTGTACGTTTCTGAGAATCATCACTTTATCGTGGTGGAGGTGGTTGTGTGCCTGAATGATGCAAGGAGCTCTGCTGTTGGGGTAGAGTCTCCCAATACAAAAATATTAATAAATAATATTTTTCAGCAGTTATAAAATCATCAACTTTTACCTCCAGGAACAGTTATTGGCATAAAGTTAAAGGACACCTCGGTCGTTAACAGTCAAATTATCCTATACGAAGGCCACTAATATAAATAAAATCAGTGAAATCTCAATAAATCAGTTGAGGTCTGATCTTTCAAACATTTGTTTTGTTTCATTTAGTAGGGATGCACGATATTGGATTTTTGGCCGATATCTGATATGCCGATATATTAAAACTTATTTGGCCGATATCGATACAAATACTTTATATACTTTCCTTTGTTAGAACATAGCCCTCTCTCTTATTTAGGCTTATTTGCTACAATAATTGTGCGACAGCTGTAAGAGCTGGTGACATATATTCAGTAACAGCCATATGATATGCATGGCACTTTAACTTATTAAATGAAAAGTGTTAAATGTTATATATTAGCATTAGTCACCTGCGATGTTGTCTCACTTGTGGAGGCTTGTTCCAGGTTTCTAGCTGCAGTGTCTGATATTTAACTTTAACGCTGATATCGGCCGATACCGATACCATGCCGATGATATCGTGCATCCCTAGCATTTAGTAATTATTTGGTAAATATATTTTTTTAAACATTATTTTTATTGTGAATTTATATAGGAAA